TTACCAAATAGAACATTTTTTTTCTCTTTCCTTAATCACTTCCAGTTTTTAAGGCACGTTTCTGATTTGGAAACAAATTTTATGCAATAGTATAATTATTTTGGAAGAGTTTGGTATTGATACAAATTATTTGTTGCCAACCGTAAAATTGCAATTATTTATAAAAAGTGTAGGATGTACGTAAATTACCGTTTTATTTTGGTATTCCTATGAATGAGATGAAATCACAATTTGCATTTGTAAGAAACATGAGGAAAAATGAGTGTTGTCCACTAAGAGGGGAAAGTCCATATGAAGCCCGAAAGACGGTCCCACGAAGATGAAACGCACCAAGGCAGGAAAAACTCAGATGATGTTCAATTGAAGTTATAGCTCAAGCCAGTTGGCGAAAGAAAAAGTAACCCACTATATTTATAAATTATGTCTATTTTTCCTATATAAACGATGTGTATACCATTATTTTGTTACGTGCAATTTGTTTTGAAAATGTATAAATTATTTTTAATTTATTTTTAATTTATTTGATTTTAAAGGAAGATGATTTGCAAACGGTAGGTGCACAATAATTTTATAATCTGGAAGATAAAGTGGGTTACCGTCATTGTCCTTTGCATTGATTGTCAACCCAAAAGAGAGACATACGAGTAAATGATCATGTGCAAAAATATCGCTGATTGTACTTACTGTTTTGAAATTTAAACCACATGAAAAAGATAAATAAATAATCTCGAGGGCTTGCTAATTCTTAACTAAACCAAATAGAATTATGTTTAGACATGGCCAAGGCCGCCCGGCCCACCGACCCGGCACGGACCCAGCCCGATCAATACCGTTGACCATGAATTCGGGACCAGGCTGAATTTCAGACAGACCGTTTCAAGGGTCATCAATTTCATGATCTGTCGGGCCAGACCGTAACCTAGCCTGAGTTTTGGCCATGTCTAATTATGTTAAAAGCCAGTAAATTACATGAAGACTTATATTTTTCAAACCATCAACTAAACGTGTATTAAACGATCAATAAACGAGCCTAACTTGGTCGATAAACGAGCCCATCTTGCGACCAACTCGTTGCATCTAACCACTCTAATTGTATTTAAGTAAACTGAATAGGACCCGAGTGGATGTTTGGATACAAGTTATCCCAAAAAACAAAAAAACAAAAAATCAAAAAAAAAAATCATTTTTAACCAATCACTTTTGTTAACTCAAATATAATTCCATTTTAACACAACCTTCTTTATGTTAAATATTATCAATATAATTAAATAATAGTATGAATCAATATTTTTTATACATTATATCAATTTTAATTTATTACCATCTGCTCACATATTTTAAGGATATGTTTAGTAAAAACGAGTATCTGCTCACATATTTTAAGGATATGTTTAGTAAAAACGAGTAATGCTCCCCTATCCACAGTAGGCACATGTTAATATGTCCACCGTTTATGTGGCATGCACATATTGTTGATATATTTTTTTTAACATATTAACATCACCAATGTGTACATGTCACATAAGCGGTGGACATATTAACATGTGTCCACCTTGAGTAGGGGAGCATTACTGTAGTAAAAAGTAACTGATAAGCTAACTGATAACTGGAAAATTACCTTATAGCTTGTCGTAACTTTTGACTTATAACTTATAGCTTATGACTTATAGCTGAAAAAAAAGTAGTTTATTTGATAAAGATGTTTGGTAAAATTAGCTGATAAGCTAGCTAAAATAAAAATTTCAACGAGCTTATTTGAAAAGTTACTCAAAAAAGCTTATGAGATAAGCTCGAGCTTTTTAAAAAAGCTAATCGTACCAAACGAAACTTATTTAAATACAGAAAGTTTATAAGCTAACCAAATAAACTATAAGTTAACTTATTTCACTATCAAACTTATTTAGAACAAATTAACATCTAGTGTATAAAAAAAAAATTATAAAAATAAACACAGACATTGCAAATTAACGTTAAACAAACGAATTATCACTGACTCAGATCCAGAAAACCAGCCGGCGGGAAGCAACAGTTGAAGCAAAAACTAGTGGAACAACCCAGTAGTAATTCAACAAGCTGAAAGAGAGAGATCTCAATACACTTTCAGCGGATAAAAATAAGGAATAAATAGTTCGCATAACAAGAATCGAATCTGGAACCTTTCATTTCATCTCCTGCATCGTGTAATGGCTGAGCAGCTCCTGGTGTAAGGGTTCACCGGCCCGTGTGCCCGGAAACAGTTGTGCGTGTAGTACGATCTGCCAGATCGGGCAGGGCAGGGGACCCGATTCGCCGAGAGCGCCCCGTACGAAATGTAGTACCTCCTCCGACCCGGCCACTTCCAGTAGAGAGATCTACGCGGCAGCCCGTCCTCGTCTTCGTCTTCCTCCTGCTCGATTGTCGCCGGGTCGAGGTGGTACTGAG